CAGCTTTGATCCTCAGTCGCAAAGAATGTGTGATGGGAAAGACAGTTTATAGGTATTTGTGATATATGTTGAAAACAGTAAAAGCATTTGTATTTTAAGGTCCATATTTATGAAATATGTAGCTGCAGTGACTAGAATTTCATAACTATAAATTTGAATTAATCACTAAAGATTTCACAAAGATATTAAAGTGTGTTGACTATCATGTAATTAATTCAGCTCAACATTTGAGGGCCAGCTTTACACTTTGTGTTAAACTGGGTATATTTATTTATTTACCTTTCCATTTTTGTATTTGGTACAAGGTCTCACTATGCAGCTCAGACTCCTAGTGATCCTCCTGTTTTCAGCCTCCTAGCGCTGGGATTACATGCGTGTGCCACCATGCCCAGGCTCGGTCACCGGCCCAGGGCACCCCAGGGGAGGGACCAGTGAGGTGTGCAAGGACCAGGGATGGAACCTTGGTCCCTGCACTTGCCAAAGCAGGCGCTTGGTCTGCTGAGCTATCTTGTCAGCCCTTAAGCTGGGTATATTTAATACAAACCTACAACTCACAAGGCCTTGGGAAGGACATTCATAAAACAAGTTAGGTATATAGAAAAAAATCTGAACGACTTGGTTTTCAGGAACTTGAAATAGAGGAAATGTGCCTTGCCCCTAAATAAGACATAACCATGTCTAATATCATCTGATTAGTCATCTTGAGACCCCAGAGGGCAGGGTGACATGAATGGTGCATGTGACTGTTGGGCTTGTGAATGTAGGGATGAAGGGACCAGAAAGTGGATCTGAAAAACTTTATCAACAGGGCAGTTTTTAAAATTGAATATGGCTGATTTTCCTTTTTGCTCCTCTTATTTTCGTAAGCCATCGGGAGGTTTCCGTCCGCTGAGAACCAAAGTGTACGGGTTCATTACTTTCTAGGTCTTACACTCTTTCTGCACATGTCTTGTGTACTCTAGCTCCTCCCAGTAGGAACAACTGATGGTGTGCATGTGGGGAGATTATGTCATTTCTCCATCATATCCATCGTTGAATTGCTAGAAAGCATTAGTTGTACATGGATACATGGCTCTACTTTAATCTCATTGTCTCCTAAATAGTCCAGCATGTGTATGGCAGCTTTTAGATTAAAATTTTGCTTCCAGGTCATTTTCTTTCAGTTGATTGTCCTCAACACCCCTCTTACATTCATCAGGTGACTATTACAAAAGAAGAAATGGAAACTTGGGATACAGCCTACATGGGAAGCTGGAATTTGAACTGGGAAATCTTTCCACTGTGTTTATAAAACAAATGAAATCATTTCCTCTGAACCTGGGCTGGGGAGGTAGCGCAGGAGTCTAAGCACCTGCCTGGAAAGCACAGGGACCTGGTTTCAGTCACTGGTATTGCATGCTGGCCCCGGCACCCTGGGCAAGCCATGCCAGCACGGAAACCAGGCATGGTGGCGCACACCTGTAATCCCAGCACTAAAGAGGCTGACACAGGAGGATCACTATGAGTCTGAACTGTGTAGTGAGACCCTGTATTAAAAATTTTAAAATAATTTCAAAATTAAAAATAAAAATTAAGCGGCGTAAGTTCCTGTTTCTCAGTGGCACATTTTGAGTGCTTAGCCGTGATACTCGGAGCACTGCCATCATTACAGAAGTCCTACTGGCCTTCCTGGTCACCTCTGAAAGCCACAGTCGGGGAGAATAAATCTACTGAGATAAATTGAAAAAAAAAAAAAAAGTATGTCCCTGGAATTGGTACGTAGGTGATAAATATAGAGCCCTCTACCAAACCAACTCCTCCAAAGTGACAAGCTTATTGTCAGGTTAACTACCAAAGGATGAAAACATGCTTTTCAGATTTTATAATCTGTTTATGTTTTGTTCTTTTAAAAATAGATATGGAGAGCTGGGGATATAGCTCAGAGGCATAAGTGCCTGCCTGGCAAGGTCCCTAGTTCATTCCTCAGTACCAGAAAAAAAAAAAATCTGGAAAGAACAGGGAGCAATTTCAGGTGTATTTTATAGCTGGCCCATATTGTGGCCAGACTTAGGCTGCATGGGGGAGGGGGTGTCAGACCTCAAGTGCTGGCAGCTCATGCGGTAGAATTCCCAGAAGGCCTCTGTGGCCAGGGGTGCTGGGGTGGCCTCATGGAGGGCTTCAGGCAGAGCTCGGATAATTCCTGTGTCCCCAGTTTTAGATCAGTGCCAAACCTTCAGGTCAGCACACCCGAGTCAGCTCTGTTGGCTCCAGTTGGAGGGGCAGGGAGGGTATGGCGGGGACAGGTATCTGCCTTTGCTGTGGCCTCTTCTAGGACACTGAAAGCATTTGGGGTGGAAGATGAGGGTTGCTATGAGTTTCCTATAACTTTTGCCAATTAGAAGAGGAGTGGGGCTGGTCCCAGCCCAGTCGCAGCGTGGATGAGACCCTCTTCCACCCCCTTGGGATCCCCCCACCACTCTGTAGCACCTCTCCCACCCCGCCCGCCTAGTAGGAATTTCTGCTGCATTCCAGGAACCCCTAGATCCAGTCCTAGCCCAGGCCCAGTGAGTGTGTGGGAGAGCTTCCAGCTACCTTGAGCCAGCAGGACCTGCCGGTCCCAGCCCAGGTGCAGCATGGGTGAGACCCTCTTCCACCCTCTTTGGGCCCCTCCAACACTCCGCAGCACCCCCCTACCCTGCACACCCAGTGAGAATTTCTGCTGCATTCTGGGGATCCCCAATTCCATTCCTAGCCCAGGCCCAGTGAGTGTGTGGGAGAGCTGCCTCTCCCCGCTACTCCACCTTGTCCCCTCCAGACTCAGCTCAGGCCTGGCATACAGGTCTGAGGTGAACTGCAGCTGCAATCCCTGAAGAGAGTGTAGGGGACAGAACCACCCAGCTAGTCCAGGAGCAGAACATCTTGCCAGAGGGGCACAACAGGTTCACTCCAAGGGCAGCAGCAGGAAGGAGCTGAGCACAGCAGCCAGACCCAAGTCAGGCACAACTGGATAAATTCAAACTTTGTATATCTGCACCTGAACTTCAGTAGGTGCTAAGGTTATAACTGCACCAAAGGTCTACAACAAAGGTCAGAAGACAGTGCTACACAAAATGATGACAAGAAGGAGCAAAATGCAGTCTCAGACCCCAAGCCCACCCGTAACAAGTACAGAGGACACTAACGCAGAACAAATTGGGAATCACACAGCTGAAATCAATGAATCAACGGCCTCTGAAATGAAGAGGAGCGGATGTTTGTACATGTACTAATATTTAAAATAAAATACTAAAACATTAAAATAAAATTATAGCTAGTTTTCCAGCCTGAAAGTAACTGGAAAGGTAAGTAAAAGCCAACTTTTTTCAATAAAGAACAACTTGAGAAACTTAGACTTAGCAGTAAATGAACAACTGCAGGAAACAGAGCTTTAGAGACTTGCCCTGGTTACCTGGCAACATTGAGAAAAGGCTGGCCTACATACAAGAGCTACTCAAGTGTGTTTGGTGTAAGCATATAGGACAGGTTGAATATCCTTTATCCAAAGTGTTTGGAACCACAAGTGTTTTGGTCTTCAGAGCTGTTCTGAGTTTAGAATGGATGTAGATGTAGAACCCAAGTCTAAACACAATTCACTTGCATTTCTTAACCACCTGAATCATAAACTGAGGTAGTTTTACACATTTCTAGTGTGTCTGCGTTTTAACCAACTCATCATATGAAGTCAGGTGTGGAATCTTCCAGTTGTGGTGTCAGATTGATACTCAAAAGATTTTAGAATTTGGAGCATTCCAGATTTTCAGATTTGGTACATCCAACCTGCACTCTGACGTCTAAGTGTGAGCACTTGGGGGCTGGGGAGGTAGCTCAGTAGAATAAGCGCTTGCCTGGCAAGTGCAAGCTCCAGAGTTCAATCCCTGGTACCACTAAATAAGTGTGAGCACTTGGAAGACTAGCCTCCACCCAGCTCAGAATGACCCTCAACCAGCATAGGGTTCCAGGACTGACTGTGTTATTCATGGGCTGTGTGACTCATGATGGTGCCTTAGACATGAGTCCTCAAATGAGTCCACTGGTAGAGCGTTCAGAGTCGGGTGGCTGGGTCTGAAGAGGCAGCAGGTGTAGCTCCTGGAACTGCCCTGCCCAGGGGCAGCTGAAGAGTGAGGAAATGTCTCGGTGAGCACAAGGGGCAGAGATGGACAGAACAGCTTTCTAGAGGACGGGGCTACAGGCTTCAGTGTGGCCTGTGTGTGCAGAGCAGCCCTCAGCCTCGTTTCCACGGCAACATTCTACCCCTCACCAGATCAGTGCGGCTTCCTGGCTTTACGCGTATTCACAGCAGTCCTTGTGCCCAGTGCTCTTACAAACAAATCGCCTTAGACCTATACAAATGACTTCTTCTCATCCTCTGGAAGTTTAAACAGGTGCCATAAACAGCTTCTCTTAGGATGACAGTGATAAAGAAGGAAGCCCCATGGTTTGAATAGGAAGGGCCAAGTTTTGTTTATGACCAAACACTCGAGCACACTAGGGCGGGTTTTCCTTTTTGTCTTTTGTCACCCAGGCCTCACTGCCACCTGAAACCATGCAGTGGTGGAGGCTGAGGCAGAATCCATGGCAGAGCTGTCCTCGTCTCTGAGGACTGAGCCCATCATTCCTGAGCACGGGCCACGTGCTTGATGGGCAGATTCCAGTGCAGAAGCGCCTCTTGGAAGCGCACAGGGTGAACTGTACTGAGGAGAGCCCTTTAGAAGGACATGCCAAGTGCGGGTGACTGCTTCCGAAGTGGCAGGGAGAAGCCAGACTGAGCCGTGGCTGACCTGAGGGCACTTCTTGTCTCCACAGATGGGCTGGTGACGCAGGACCCTCCCAGCAGTAGCAATGCGGAGCCCTTTCCCGCGCCTGGATCTCGACACTGCACCTAAACCTGGACGTGGGGAAGCAGGAAGCAAACCTGGTGTATCCAAAAGCACGGCATCTGGGTAGGACCGGGCAGTGAGGCTGCCTCTTCTTGGCCCCGGAGCTCAGCTGCAGTGGCTGCTGATGCGCCCGGCACCTTCCTTCCGCCTATGCTTCAATGGCACAACACTGGAGCAGCACATCTGAAGAGAACAGTGTGAGAAGCCGAGCCCATGGCCACGTTCCCCTGCCAGCTATGCGGCAAGACATTCCTCACCCTGGAGAAGTTCACCATCCACAATTATTCCCACTCCAGGGAGCGGCCATACAAGTGCCTGCAGACTGACTGTGGCAAAGCCTTCGTTTCCAGATACAAACTGATGAGGTGAGAGACACTAGGAAGGCTATTCCAGCCCTCAGATGGCTTACTCCAAGGGGACAAGAAGCGTGGTAGCCTGCTAGCCATTCCTTAAAACTGTCCAGTGATCACGGTGGTTTGGCTGTGCAGGATCAAGTTTGTTCCTTCAGGGCTAAAGGCAGAAGTGAGAAGTCGAGGCGTAGGTGCAAGGCACCAATAAGCCCCCTGCTTCCACGGCTCTGCCCTTCACTGCCCAAGGAGATAGTGTGGGATCTCAGGAGGGAAGAGTGACAGGAAGCACTGGGGGAAAGTGGGTAGGGAGGCAGCTCTGGGAAGGCAAAGAGCCTCGGCTCCACAGTACCATGCGCAGCAGCTGGAGCATGGCAGGGTAAGGCTGGGAGCATCTGCAGGACGCAGCGGTGCACACTGGGCCCTACCTGCCGTCTGAAAGGGTTGTTTCTAGTGACTGAGTAGGGCATTAGAGGGTGTCTCTGACATCAGTGTAGAGGAGGGGGAAGGACACCAGTTGGGGACCTATTGTGAGAGTCCAGGCACAAAGTGCAAGGGCTTATCCAGGTCCCTCAAGGAAAAGGTGGTGAGCAAGAGACACCTACAGGTGCAGGCTTTCGGAGCAGCTTGTCACCTTGCATGGAAGACGCACCTGCACAGGGAGGCTCTGCAGGGTGCAGAGGGGCCCAGTGTGTGCATTTGGCAGAATTTCAGAGGTAGTGTGGATGATCTGTGAAAGCACAAAACCTGCTGCTGTAGCAGATGAGTCTATTTTAAAGAAATATTTCATGTGAATTACTTCTGAGAGCTGTTAGGCACTCCAAGCCATGAGGGAAATGATACATGACAACAGCTTGTTACCAAGGGGTTCTGGTAACACAGAGAGGGTAAAACACGCGGCCAGACAGTGGTCTGACTGACAGCGAAGGCTGTGTGCCATGTCTGCAGAGCCCCATGCAAAGACTCCCGCTAGTGTGCGTTGCTTTTGATGCCTGCTTAGGGGAAACGTGCTCTCCTTGAGTCCTCAGCTTCAGCTTTCTGACAGCACATAGAAACGCTCAGGTGACAGCCGCGGGAGCAAGCTTGCCTTTCCATCTGAGTGGTATTAACAGGGACCTCATTAGCATTCAGTCCCGGAGCGCCCTGGGGAAGGCACTTGAATGAAGTGAACGAAATGTATATGCTCCTGGCCGTAAGCATAACACTGTTACTGATGATATATTATGCTGTAAGATGATTTTTTTTTTAAATTAAGCCTGTAAATGCATAGGCATTTTAAAATCCAAGCATGTCCTGCCATACACAGGCCACCAGCTGTCACAGCAGTGGTCTGAGAGCCTACCAGTATCATTGCAGTGGCTCCCCGCTCTGCCTGTGAATGCATCAGGCATCCCTCCCACCCCCTCCCCAACACTGCCACCCCCCCACACACACACACCTGAGGCAGCCCAGGCTGCAGCTGTGCTGCAGGAGGGTTAAGCCCGAGACATGTGCCAGAGAGAAACACCTGGAAGAGACAGCAGAGCAAGCATATGATGGGAAGGAGAGTTCGTTGGCGTTATGTGGTTGAACCGCACTGAAGGCATCGCAAGCACTACTGAGGTAGCTCTAGGGAAATGCCTAGTCTAGAGAAGTAAGCAATGAACGGAAACTGTGCTTTTATGCAGGCAGGCATTGTGGCCCCTGCCCAGCCCCAAGGTCTTTCCTCCAGCAAGCCCACTCTCCTAGAAGAGAGGCTGGTAAGACGGCAGGATGCTTTAGGTTTGGCTTTAAAAATGAAGACGACAGGGCAGCCTTCCCCTGTTTCTCAGCAGTTGCAACTGGAGTTCTATTTTATGAGTAGTAATTTAAGGAGAAAACAACTGACTTGCGGAACAGAGAACTTAGGTTCAAGTACAGCAAACTATGAAGCCAGTTAGGCGGAGACAGCAAAGGGTGAGAAAGGAGGATCTGGCCAAGCGGAGTCAAGTCCAGGATTGGCCATCTTACTGTGACAGGTCACCCTCGAAGTCTTCTAACAGCACAGACCTGATTCAGCTGACAGCCAAAGCCTGTGGCATCAGGTAGCCCTTCTAGGTCACGCTAAGCTTCATGGATTGTGAGTAAAGAAGAAAGTGAAGAAGGAAACAAGTTGTCGAAGCACTTTCCTGTGATAATGCTCTAGATCGGGACTGTTGCATGAGGAAGTAAGAAGAGGGGTAAACGGGGAAGAACTGGATTCCAGGCAAAGGAAAAACAGATACAGGTAGCTAGGGGGCAGAAGGTGGCGAAACTGCAGAGGCAGGCGATGGTATTGCTCAGGTGCTAGTCCCAACCTGGGCTGCAGAACAGCACAAGCATAGGACAGGAAAGAGTGGGTAGGAAATACGAGACCCAGAGTTATTAACCACCAGTTGATTTTCCCAAGGATGATACATGAAATGAAGCCACATCAAAATCCTCTACAAAGTAAGGGAGAGAAAGGCAACCACCAAAGACCCAGCACGGACCTTTGCAGCACTATTTAGTAGTAGTCAAACTGAAAGAGTGTAAATACTAAGCTGATAGGCCAGCCCCACCAATACTAATCTCTCTTATACATATGAGGGTACCTTTTTTGGTTTTGGGTTTTTTTGTTTGTTTGTTTGGTTGGTTGGTGTTTTTTTTTTGCCTTTTGGAGACAGAGTCTAGAAATGCAGTTCAGGCTGGCCTTGAGCTCACTTTGTACCCCAAGCTGGTCTCAAACGCACCATGATCGTGCTGAGATTACAGGTGTTGCCCCCCCCCCACGACCAGCTATATGTGAGTATTTTTTAAGATAAGCCAGCTACTTACCCTCCCCATGTGCTTCTAAAAACCCTTTGTGCAACCTGTGGATGTACCTAAGTCTACCTGGAACGTGCAGACAGCGGCATATTTGGCTTCCCAGGTACCTGCCGTCCTGGTTCTGCGCCCTCAGGCCCCAGCAGCATACTAATGCCAACCTCTTACTCCGTGCACATGGCCGATTACCCTTGCTCACAAGAGAGGGGAAGGAGGTGTGCTAGTTTTGCCTTATTTTTAAGGCAGTGATCCAGCTTAGCTTTACAATTTTTGCACTGGTTTCCAGTCTGACCCCTAGTGGGACCACCATCTTTTAAATCCAGCTGTTAGCGACCACTTCCTGGGAATGAGGAGGATAGAGTAGGCTGTTGGGTAAAAATGTATAATTGAGCACACTTTTGAGTTAAACACAGTCTGAAAGAGAGTGCATCTTTTTTAGAGAATGAGGTGTTAGAAATTCTTTTTGATCCAGAGTCACAAGCTCAGAGGATACAATTGCATCGAAATTGTTAGTCAGACAAGGTAAGCCTCTGAAGAGATTCGAAAGGAGGCCGTTGTCCTAAGGGATAAAGCAGCTTACCAAGTACCTACAAGCTGCAAGTGAGGGCTTCTGTTTTATAAGAAATGCTCATAAATAGTACTTGGTGTTTCAGTGATTCAACTAAGCCTTTTCTAGTCAAAGTGACAGTTTTTTAAAAATGGGCTCTAGTTATATGCTTTCTCCAAAATTAAAAGATAGGGCCTTGTTGTTGTTACTTACAGTATTGAAGACTGAATCAGGGAACCCTGAATTATTTTTTAAATTTTATTCTGAGCCAAGGTCTAAGTTGCCGAGGTTGGCTTTAAACTTGCCACTCTCCTGCTTCTACCTTCCTTGACGATGGGATTACAGGCATTGGCCACATCTCTTGGCTAAGGACAGACTTTAAAAAGCTCCTCTCAGTCTTGTCTCTGGTCTGAACTTTGTATCTCACTATATAGAGACCATACACAAGAAATTTCAGTAAGTGGGTTTTACATGAGTAGAAGATACATTGGGTGACTTGGAAATTAAGGAATTTTCAAAAGAGTGTCAAATGCCTATTTAGCCTCCTCCTGATAAGTAGTTTTCATTACATAACTTTTAAAATTTATGTTTAGAAATCTCTATACATTATAAGGATACAGTAGCTTCTCAAAAGAACATCCTTTGGGTATGAAAATTGCCTTATGTTCTTAGCAGTCCTTGGGTTTGTTGTAGGTTTCTTTTTCCTTCAGTACTGGGGACAGAACCCAGGGCCTTCACACTGGGCCTTACTGCTGGGCTCACACTTGTGATCTTCCTGCCTCAGGCTTGCGAGTACTGGGATTACAGAGGTATGCCACAATGCCCTGGTAGCTTTTGGGTTTTCATGACAAAATGTCATGTATTGGAAAATATCGAAAGGGAATTTTAAAGTGAAAATGTATGAGCTATTAGCATTCCAAGGTGCTCTTATTTCCACGCCCTTCTCCAACTCGTGTTGTGCAATGTTGCTTCCGCCCCAGGCACATGGCTACCCACTCTCCCCAGAAATCTCACCAGTGCGCCCACTGCGAGAAGACGTTCAACCGGAAGGACCACCTAAAGAACCACCTCCAGACCCACGACCCCAACAAGATGGCCTTCGGCT